ATATATATATATATATATATATATATATATACATGTGTGTATGTAATTGAAAGAGAGTATATAATTGATATGTACAGAATGAAGTATACGATTGAATGTAAGACAAAAGCAAGACAGACACTCTTCTCTCTCTCTCTCTCGATCTCACCCACCCACATATATGTTTATATATATATATATATATGTATATAACGTTGGTAGTCGACCTAAATGCTTCGAAACGACAACCGCATTGGTATCGATCGATCGAATTCCGCGGTCGAAGGAGCGGAACCTTTCTGAAGGATTCTGACTCGTCTTCATCAGTTAGCACAATTTTACAGATTTCTATCATATTTCTAAGCATTCACATTTAATTTCTTGATAATAACACGATGACTATAGTAGTAATAGTAGTTGTTAATACATTGTGTAAATACAAAATGGATTAAGGGAAAAATATGAAATATAATAATGATTAATTAATATTTACCCAACGTAAACTCGACAGGTGGAATTGTTGACTCTACGATCACTGGCCAATCTTCTTCTATCTTCGAAAAAATCTTTCAAGGCTGTAACACCCAATACAAATACCACTGGAATCATTGCCACTTCCTTTCCAAAGGCATTGATAGCCGGTACCCAATTAAGTAGGACGATTAATATGAAGTATAAATTAGCAACACGGTGAAACTGTTCCAACAAGTTACGTGGTAGGAAGCTCAGGGTCGTATACTTCGTTGTGCGTACCCTACATTGTTTTTTGTTTTGTTTTAACAACAGAAATAAGAAATAAATTCCATTAACGTTTGTTTTACATTCTTACAAATTATGAACAAAAAAAAAAAAAAATGAAACGTTACAAGATCTAACCTATTGTCTACTCTTGCACCATTTGGATGCTGACTCTTGGGAGTTTTAGGTGGTACCAAATGATTAGGTACGATCGTCCTTAATCGAGGTTCCTCAGGTAAAGGTCCAAAACAACGTGCCCAAATTCTTCTCCACAATGGTGGAGCCGCGCTACGTCTTATTGTGTAGATTGATTCCGATCTAGAAATGGATTATAACAAAAACAATTATTGTAATGTATGATAAATAATTGATTGATTCATTTGAATATGAATTTGTACCTGGAGGCTTGTCTGGAGTGTCCACGAAAGGAGGGCACTTTCCCAGCTGTTGAAGGCCGAGATTCCTCTCTGTGTCCAGGTGGTAAAATGAAATCTGTTCTCGAGCCAACTCGACTGTGTCCAGTAACAGGAAGTTGACTGTTTTGAACATCTACCACCTGTCCTTGACTGAAAGCTCTTTGATGTCCTGGTTTTTTCAATGCCGAGGGACGAATCGGTCCAGTTATTGATGGTAAAGGTCCTAAATACGATCCACCAGTTTGCCAAGGCGTTTGATAAGGTAACGAGTTTGATGTAACGCTCGAACTTGCCAGAACACCACCATGACTGGCAGATCTCGCATGGGTCTTCGAATAAGGTCTTCTTCTTGAACGAGATGAAAGATCTTCGATATCCTTGATCTCCCCGACATCGTTGTTTCTCATAGAACCAAATATTGGTGCCGATGACGGTGTAACTTGAAGGGATGATATCGTGGTACTCCCTGGAAGTTGTTGTTGTTGTTGCTGTTGTTGCTGTTGCTGCTGTTGTTGTTGTTGTTGACGAGATACACCCGGGAATACGTAAAGAGAAGCTTGTTTCTCGATCTCCTCCTCGCAAGCTGCTTCTTGCATGCCTCTCTCGGACATACTGGCACATCTACAAACGTATTATTCCCTTTATTCATTGAAACAAACGAAAAGTATCATCTAATAGGCATCGATAACAAAATCTTATCATTCCATTTCCGACGTGTGTTCCTTCCTCATCATTTTGTACAAAATGATAAGAAATAAGTTATCGATGACTAGTATTGAAAATATATATTTATGTTCGATCTACAATAAGAAAATTCCCCACCATCGTATTATTCTAGGAAATAGATTTCAATCAAAGAGATCAAATATTCGCGAATACAAATTATCGATGATGATGATGATGATGACGATGATCAAAACGAGATATTCTGTTGAAATTGTTTCGAAAGAAGAAAGTCTACTCTGCCTGTTCTATTTTTACGATGAGTAGTACTACACCCACAAATAAGAGAGAGAGAGAAAGAGAAAGAAAAACAGATATATAGAATGATATTCAGGAAGCAACGTTGTTGTAATAATCCACTTGGAAGCGATGACTTTCATCGGCACACTCGGTGCACTTGCACTGGTTGGTTCCCCACACAGTTATGCTATTATTAAAATTAACCAACATTTTCTATATCTATATATATATATATATATATATATATATATATATATATATGTTTCTTGTATTTTCTCTCTTTTATTTATTTATTTTGATTGAGAATTATTCTCAAATGAATAGATCTGACAAAAATCTGAAACAAGATGCAAACACTTTTTTTTTTTTTTTTGATGATGTTTTCATTCACACGGTCACCGACTAAATGAACGAAATGATGATGACGTTCTATATCTATACATATGTCAGCAAAAAGCGTATCTAATGTAAGCCACCTTATCTTTACCCCCACCCCCACCCCCCTTCCACCTTCCTCCCTTACCCCTCCTCCTCCTCCTCCTTACCCCTCTCACATATATTTGTACGTCGTTAACCTGAGCCTCGATAAGACAAAAATGTGAATTATTTTTATTTTTTTGTATTGAAAGTGAGATCGAATGTTTTACAATTATCGAAGAATAATCAAAATAATTAATAACATTTGAATAAGAAAAAATATTGTTGTTTGTTTGTAATAAAATTTGTGTGGAATAGATGATTTTTTTGAGTGACACGTAAAAATTGAAAATAATTTAATTTACGTAATAATTATATCAATTTTGTATTATGAATAAAAATTACAACCAACAATTATGAGATTTACGTGGTACTGACGTGGTTTTTTGAACGTGTAAATAAATACGCGATATCGATAAAATGTTATTAACGATGACAAACGTTAACTTATCGTTGTTCCGAGGAAGGATGTCTGACGCATACATCTGTTAGATTAGAGACCCCCCAAACACGTTGACTATATGCATATATATATATATATATATTTAAGCTTGACTATTGTTATTAACATAACCTTGAACGATTTTCATTGAATTTTTATCAACATTCAATATATATTATTTCTTTAAAAAAAAAAAAAAAAAAAAAAAAACGAACCAATACCAAAAAATGAAATTCGAAAGAAATCTAATAATACGAAGAAGAATAAGAAGAAGAAGAAGATTTTTGTATTTTGTATATTTACAGAAAAGTATAAACACAATCATTATTGATAAAAATAAAACGTTCAATGATCTGTTCTTTTCGAAAAGAAAAAAAAAAACATTGAAAATTGTTGAGCACTTATTAGACTCTTGTTTTTTTGTTGTTGTTGTTGTATTATTTAAATTATGTACACCCTAGTTTCTCAGATAATCATTTAGAAATTACTCGGAGTCGCGTGTGTACACGTGAACGACCAACTAAAGGATTCCATTGGTTGTTGGTTCGATCGATGCCAAGTTAAATCCCAACGCCTAATGTAAACGGACAATATCAAGGGTAGAAAAATCGAGCGATAGACAAAATTTAGGTCACTGTGAGAATGAAGAGACAGACAATAGTGAAGGAGACAATACCCCCCGTAGAAAAGTGTAGACTAAATCAAACGAATTTTAATCGAGAATTTAACCGAACCTCCCTCCTCCCCCATCTCCTCCCCATCTTCCCCCCTCTACCCCTTCTGTTCAATTTCCTTCTCTTCATTCATTTCGATCTTTGCTCTTTCTATTTTCGAATAATTATTATTAACAAGATCAAATGTATATTTTCAATATCAAGATCTACGATTAAAATTTAACAAAGATGGATAATCATTTAATTTTTTTTGGTTTTTGTTTTTTTTTTGAAATTGTCTTCGATTCATTACAAATTGATATAATTATTATTAATGAAAGTAATAATATTAAATATATTATTAAAAACTGTAATGCAACAATATCTTCTTCTTGCACGTAATATTTATTCACAGTTGAAAAGTTCAAAAAGATGAAAAAATAAAAAATATATAAAAGACAATCGATTATTCTTACGAATTACAACCAACTACTACTTCCATTTACTTTTTTTACTTTTGTACTTTTTACTTTACAACGCGTATTATATATATGTGTGTGTGTGTGTGTGTGTGTTTATGTGTTGTGTTTGCTATACGCACAGTGTAAAAGTTCACGGTCAAAGTAATTTTCGAAACCTTTATGCATTTCATATATATATATATATATATAGAACGATGACTGAATTTAAATGACAGTGGTCAAATCTATAAGATCCTTACGATGTTATAAACACATGCATATATATATATATATATATATATATATATCAATTAAATGTTATCTAGTCAAAATTTAATAGGGGAACATTTAATAACTATCTTTAACTATTCCCTAGAAAATTATACTATGAAGGGTGTAAAAAAAAATTATCATATTTGTTTTAAATGATAATCGATATTTAAAGTTGTTAAACAATATCTAATAAAATTAACGTATATTTGCAATATATTAATATTGATAACAATATTTATTATTTTTAAATATTATATAATATATATATATATATATATATATTAAAAAATACTTAGAAAAATTAACAGTCTCTTACTTTATCTCTCTTTCTTTATCTTTCTTTATCTTTCTTGTTCTGTATATCTCTTTTTATTTTTTTATCATGATCATCGAAGAAGATAATAATCATCTCAACGATAGACGAAGCCAATAATAAAAAAAAAAAAAGATAAATGATCCAAGATCGCGTAACTAATTTATGCTTGCCTCCTCCTCCTCTGACAAATACACGCATACGTACCACGTGTACACGCATACATACGTACGTACGTACACATATATCATATACATACATATTTATCTATATTGTTACATATTATATAGAGACAAATTCTTTCATTAATGTCTCTGATTTATATTCTCGCTTTGGTTCGATCAATCGATCGTTTGATATGCTCTTAATAAATATACGTGAATCGAATAATTATCATCTACCATGATTTCTAGTAGATCTCTAAATTCTATCATTGCTTGATACAATCATCATCAAATATTATATAATAATAGTATTTTTATTATTCTAATATTTGTACTTTTTTTTTATTGCAATTGTTTTTTGTTTTTTTTATTTATTTCACCTGGGTGCATGCATACGTGTATATATATATATATATATATATATATATGGGTGTATTTAATTATTGTTTTTTTTTCTATACATTTTTATCGCAATATATATATACTGTGTATAAAGTTGTTATGAGAAATAAACTGTATATAAAGAATAGAAAATACTGTCTGTCCTATTTATCCTTTTTTGGGATAAAACAGACAGACAGACAGACAGACAGACAGACCACCATCATCATGTCTCACATATAAATACAATTCCTAATACCGTTCATGGAGATTCCATTAAAACGGTGTACACCTGTTAAACTATTTTTTATTTTATCTATATTGTTTAAAAAAAAAACCAAAAAAACAAAAAAAAACAAATATGAAAGAACAAATTTGACACAAGTATGAAAAAAAAAAAGTACGCGTCTCGTCGAATTTCTTTTAGATTTCAAATGAATTAATTAATATTTGTTTTAATTAAAAATAAACGTAAATCATTGTCTTGGAACGAAGAACATAAAAGAAATGATTTACCTTGCTTGAAAGATCCATTTTATTAACACACATTTTTCAAAGTATATAAACTTGAAATTGAAAGTAGTAGTCGGATTTATATTTCTTTTTAATTATTTGAATTTTAAATAACAGAATTTTCTCTATACGTTTGTGCGTGTATATGTTAAAGAAAACTAAATGATATATTAATCAAAATAATACATACATTTTGTAGGGCTCCCAACGTGGTCCACGTGGCCTTGGAAAATGCTTCCTGATCCGAGGGATGGCACTGGTCTTTCTTTCTCTCTCTCTCTCTCCCCCGCACAGTGTCTTCGAACTTTCTTCTTTGCTTACGTTTCACATCATATCATTAAGATCATCTAATCACCTTGCTTATCGTTTCAACGTATGATTTTAAAATTTCATTAAAATATACGACTTCGAAATAATATACAAAGTTAATAAATAATTTGTCTTCTTTTCATTGAATCTTAAATATTATTATTATTATTATTATTATTATTATAAATAAAAAGAATACTCTATGAAAATGATTTAAACAATATGACAGGTAAAAAAACAGACGTATTATTATGCCACGTACGTCAAATGATTTTTGAATGGCTTAATCGGTAGAACGAGAATATTTATCCGACGACCCGTTAGAGATAACTAAAGTACACACATAATATAACTCAAAGTAGACACGGAAGAACGCGCGAACTTCTTCGTACTGACGTTCACCGTTCACCGTTCCATTCCCCTTACACCACTTCACTAATGCAACACCTCCCGCCACCCCAATCGTATGGAGCGAAGCGCACACTGCATATAAACACTCGGCCGACGGTCGTAGGTACACTGACACGGCGGCTTGAACGTGGACGGCGCCATGACACTGCAGCGCCATCTTCTCAGATAGAAGTGAAAGTACCTCGATCGAGTCAGACGTTGTGCGCAGGCTATTCTGCGCATGCGGGAAAATATGAAACTGCAAAATACATTAATTATTTTTAAAAGCATCAAAATACGAAAATACAATATATAATACAATTTATTTGTTTTTATTCAAGGAGATATAATATATTATAATAATTAAATACTACAACGTTTAATAATATGTTAAATTGAAACAACTTTTTACTGATTTGACTTATTTAGTAGCACTTTTTAACATCTTTTTTTATTGAAAAAATTATTAGAAAATTGTATTGTCTACATCGTGATATTTTTTAATCTTTTACTCGATATAATAAATTACCTTTTAAAGCTAGAAAAATAATACTATTTTAAATATGAACGAAGTGGCGGGAAATGCATGGGGGCCAATCGAATGTATCGAAACTTCCTACCAATGGTGCACCTTCGCGGGAATTTTAAACGCGAAATCAGACTTGTTGCAATACAACAGAAACTGTAACAAAAGAAATAAGATTAAGTATGAAGAAACGTGTTGATAGATAAAGAAAAATGATAGAAATGAATAAAATAATGTATATAAAATGAATACGAATAAAATAATAAAGATTGAAAAGAATTTAGAAAATAAAACTAGGTATAGAAAGTAAAGAATAAAACCTGTAACATTGGCAACACTAACCATATTAACTCCGTCATCACGAAACTGTTGGTGGGCAGGCAGGAAAGAAAGGAGGTCTTCCGTTCCGGCATAATAGTCGTGCGAGTTGGCAGCCACGAGAGCTTATTGTCGCGACCATTTTATCTCCTATACCTTGATAAAACTTCCAAACGGTAACACCTCTTTACTCCAAAGTTTTCTTTTTAACCGTTTCCCTTCCCCTGGACCCCTCTAAGTTCCTCGCACCTAAATTAAAAGGAATCAAACCGTCAACTTGTCATATATATATATATATTGTCACAATTAAAAGGATCCTCCTTTCTTAGATTTGTATAAGAAAGAAGAAGAAGAAAAGTAAAGTAATAAGAAAGTAAAGAAAAACGTCATCATTTTTGTCAAAATAATACTACCGTGTAACAAAGAGAAACAAACGTCAAGATGAATGAAGAATACGACGCGATTGTTCTTGGGACCGGCTTAAAGGAATGCATCCTATCTGGTATGTTATCGGTTAGTGGAAAAAAGGTACTCCACGTAGACCGCAACAAGTATTATGGTGGTGAATCGGCCTCCATAACACCATTGGAAGATCTATTCGCGTAAGTTTAAACGATGTTTTTTTTTTCTTTTTTAATAATGATCGATATTAAATTGATCTATTTGTTATATCCTAATGATCTAAATCATCCTCCACCCTATTATCTTTTTCTTGACGTTTCTTATGACATTTTACTTGTCTCGCTATTTTCAATACGAATTAAATCATTATTATTTCTTTCTATTTCTCTCTATCTCTAGAGAAAAATGTCTTATCGAAGAGAGGAAAACAAGCAGCGCCCGTGCAATGCGGATTTATTGATTTTTCCCCTTTGGTTCCTGTCGTACACACGGAACACTCTATGTGTGATCTCTCTTCTTCCTGAACAAGCTTCGTTAGACGATCGAAATCTTCCGTTACCAACTCTCTCTTTTTTTTTCTCTCTCTCGCTCTCTCTCTCTCTCTTTTTACATTACTCCTACCAACTCCTTCCCCCTTTGATCCATATACTAAGTCTATCTTTCTCTCTCTCTCTCTCTCTCTCTGATACGGAAATCATCGAAGAGGAAGTCAAACGAGGACAAATTTCACTCCTTAGACATATATATTATTTTTTTGATTTTAATTTTCTTTTATACAAATCTAATTTCTATTTCTATTTTGAATCATTATTTTTTCTTCGTATGGCGGTAATTTCAAAAATCGTCAAGTATTTATTATTATTATTTTTTTTTTGTAACAACAAAATTCTTTTCTTCTCATCGTTGAAACATAACATTTTACAAAAAAAAGATGATAAGATTTTATCTTTTTTTTTGCTCTTTAATTTACTTCACGCGATTTGTTTTTTTTTTGTTGTATTTCTTTTTACGTAATGATAGCTGATCCCCCACCAGTTTTAAAGTCATCACTCGTACACACAAATGAATGTACTCGTATATGTGTGCAAGTAAATTTATCAGGAAAGTGGTGGATTGTAATTGATATTACAATATGATCTTGAATTTGAAATAAAATCTTTATCTTTTTGTCTCCTCAACCTTTTTTTCTTATTTTCTTTCTTTCCTCTTGTTTTCTGCAATGATTATAATAAAAACGTTCAATGACTTAACAAAATACAACATTTTCTTCAACGTTAATTCAAGCATACTATAATTTAACTATTATTTGCTAACATGAAGTTACCTTATTGAAAAGAAGATAATTACAATTGATCTCAATTACCTTTTGTCATGTAGCAAATTCAAAGCACCACCACCAGATGAAAGTTATGGACGTGGTAGAGATTGGAATGTCGATCTTATACCTAAATTCTTGATGGCCAATGGTCTCCTTGTGAAATTATTGATTCATACCGGTGTGACACGTTATTTGGAATTTAAATCGGTAGAAGGATCTTATGTGTATAAATCTGGAAAGATTTCTAAAGTACCAATCGATCAACAAGAAGCTTTGTCCAGTGATTTGATGGGTATCTTTGAGAAAAGACGTTTTCGCAATTTTCTTATATGGGTGCAAAATATGAAGGAGGATGATCCTAGAACTTGGGAAGGATTTGATCCCTTTAGTAGCCAAATGTGTGCACTTTATCATAAATTTAACCTTGATAAAAATACTCAAGATTTTACGGGTCATGCATTAGCTTTATACAGGTGAGTAATTATTGCATTATAATATTAAATGTGATACATTGAAATATTTTACATTATTCTCTTTTTAGGGACGACGAATACATAACTAAAAGTGCGATAATAACAATAAGGAGAATTAAATTGTATAGCGATAGTTTAGCACGCTATGGCAAATCACCATATTTATATCCTATGTATGGCCTCGGTGAACTACCTCAAGGTTTTGCACGACTTAGCGCCATTTACGGGGGTACGTACATGTTGGATAAACCAATTGATGAAATTGTCATGAAGGACGGTAAGGTATGTAGAAAAAGAAATCCTTAATAATTGTATCATACCTAAATGCATTATTTCAAATTGATCTATTGTAATCGTAGGTAGTTGGTGTACGTTCTGGAGACGAAGTAGCTCAATGTAAACAAGTATTTTGTGATCCTACTTATGTACCTGATCGCGTGAAGAAAGTTGGCCAAGTAATAAGATGTATCTGCCTTTTGGATCATCCGATACCAAATACTGGTGATGCCCTTTCAACGCAGATTATCATTCCGCAGAAACAGGTAAGCTAATAAAATAAATAACATTGTTCTAATAAAATAAACATTACAACAAATGTTAAATAATATTATTAACATTTACAACACAACAGGTGAATCGTAATTCGGACATCTACGTTTCTTTGGTATCGCATACTCATCAAGTAGCCGCTAAAGGATGGTTCATAGCTATGGTGTCAACCACTGTTGAAACTAAAAATCCCGAACAAGAGATTCAACCAGGATTGGATTTACTTGGACCGATAAGACAAAAATTTGTTTCCATATCTGATTACATGGAAACTACCGACGATGGTTGCGATAGTCAAATTTTTATTTCTAGAAGTTACGATGCTACAACGCATTTTGAAACTACCTGTTTAGACGTACTCGATATATTCAAACGTGCAACTGGCGAGGAATTTGATTTCAACAAAGTTAAACAAGAATTAGGAGATGAGGATCAGTAACCGTAATAAAATACGCTTTTTATGATGATGATGATGATGATGATGATGATGATGATGATGATGATATTGTCCATTAATCGAGAAACAAAATTCTAACTATCAAAGTCTCTAAGTAATTTAATCGGACATTTATATCTCTTACCGACTGTGTCGGTTGTCAAGGTCTTAAAGCAAATACATACTGAGCATGTAATACTTGCGATAAGACAAAACACCACCACCACCATTTATAATCATTCATTTATTATAATTCTATTTGACAGAGAACGACAAGAATTTCTTTTTTTGTTTTTTGTTTTGTCTTTTTTGGTTTCTCTGTCTCTTAATCGTGAATTTCATCATTCAACATTATTATTATGTTGATACAATTAATTACAATTATAATCTAAAAACAAAAAACTAAGTAAACCTTTTTTTCATTTATATACGAAACATTCAATTTCTTTTTCTATTTTTCTCTATTTTATTTTATTTTATTTTATAAACTTTCATCCAATAATGAAATAATAGATTAATAAATCTATTTCACATATAAGATTTATAATCATCGAAACACGAGCAGCCCATGCCCCAACAGTAGCAGCAAAACATGTGTTATTATTGTCAATATATGCATGAGAATTTTGAAAAATGGCATAGAAGAAAGATGATAACAGTTTTACGAATACAGATTGTTTAATATTTTAATTACTGAAGTAGAAGAAGAGTACGAGAGAGAGAGAGAAAGAGAGAGCATAATAGTTATTGTTGCAAATGTCATCAATTAAACAAACAAAAAACACACAGACGAGATATATATTATATATATTATAAAATGAGAGAGACAAACACACACACACACACACACACAATGTAATGAATTAAATGGAAGACATTTAAATAGCATGTTTCAGTTTAGCTTTAGAACAAGAATATATTATTCCTATATGCATATAGAGATGATGATAATAATAATTCTTGAAAGTGGAAGAGAGTTAAACTAAGAAGAAATTAAAATGACATCGAGTAATGTAGGATAGATATTCGATATTCTCTATAAAAAAAAAATATAAAAAAATAAAATATGGAATAGTGTATAAGAACAGAAATATAAGAATAATATCGAAGTATGTTTTATCATCATGGATAATAATAATACATGGTAAAGATGAAATTGAATCGTTGATTGAAAAAAAAAAAAGAAAAAAACAAGAAAATTGTTATAATTATGTGAGCTTGCGAATGTGAATAATATTCCTTTGCATATCCTCCCATGAATGTATCAGAAAATATCTATCGTTATTTGATAAGGTGTGCGAAAAAAAGAAAAAAAAAGAGAAAATAAATAGATAGGATAGTAAGAGAGCGCATATGTTCGTACATCTGTTCGTTGGCTGCTACTGAGAGAGCATGTGCATTGTGTGTGTGTGTGTGAGAATAGAATGAATGGTTCGATCATTTCTTTTCTTTTCTTTTCTTTTGATTCTATATTTCCATTTTTTCGTTGCTTGCACTTATTGCTTGAAAAATCACCAAGCACATTTTCACTAGCAATTTTCGTACTATGTACAACTAATTTGATGTATTTGTGCATACACATTGATAAATAAATAAATAAATCTCTTTCTTTTTTTTTCTTTTTCTTCTTCTTCTTCTTCTTCAGAATGGTATTGGCAATGTAAAATGTAATACAAAAAAAGTCCTATGGAATAAAAAATATTATTGATTTAATTATTATCCGTTTATATTTTATTATATATTATTAATTTGAGTTTGTCGTTTTTTTAGGAATTTTTTTAATTTTAAAATCCTTTTTTGAATTTGTATAAACTTTGTCAATATTTTCTTCACATTGTTCTAAAATGTAAAGATTGTCATCTCTACATCCAACTACGATCAATCCATTTATCACAACCGGTGATGAAAATATTTCTCCATCAAGTTTAATACTCGATAATATATCTCCTTGGGTAAGTTCATAGATGTATAATGAACCATCTTTACAAGCTATACACGCATAATTATCTTCCTTCCAAGGTGTTGTATAAATTTCCGATGATACACTTTTAACATACTTTGCTATTGGTTCGTGCTTTTCTACTGTATAATTTAATTCCAAATAATGAATACTTTTGCGCGAACATGCGATAATATTTTCACAATTTTTTATCGAATCATATTGTGTTATGGGTTTTGAAAGTATAACGTTATTTACTTCGTATGTCCATAACTATAAAAAAAAAAGAAAAAGAAAAATATATTATTCATTCGTTATATTACAGACAGACAGACAGACAGACAGGATCAATCATTGTATCATCACCTTTGTATCAGCTTGAATATCAAAACAGATTAATAAACCTGTTACTCCGGTAAAAAGTACAAATCCATTGTGAAGTATAACAGGTGATACAAAAATAGAACTAGATATTTCACGTCTCCAATAAATATTTCCATTAGATTGATTTAATGCTATACAAGTACCACCTAATGTTCCAAATAATACTGATTCCGTTGTTGAATGTAAAATTCCTTTTGCTGTAATACTCGATTCACTGAATTTCACGTTCCAAATTTTCCTTCCATTCTAAATATCATATTTATACATTTCTTTTTTTATATTTAAATTGATCACATTAATGAACAATATATATGTACGTATATACAGTTTTACATACTTCAGTGGAAAGACAGTATATGTTTTTATCGTAAGATCCAATATATAATACATTATTAGATTCAGATAATAAAGCTGTACATTTGACTATATCTCCTGTTTCATATTTCCAAACAATTTCTCCTGTCTTTAAGCAAAAACAATAAATATGATGATCGTAACAACCTAAAAAAAAAAAAAAATAGATTAACCATTAGAAATATGGCAAATTAATGATATCGTATTATGATTTAAAGAATACAAAAAAATAATAATCAATCACTTACCAACGATACCTTTGAAATTATCTAAAACTACAATTGAAGCTTCAACTGAATTTGGAAGTTGAATTTTATATGCATCCCTATTATTTTCTGCTTCAAGTTCGACTGTACAAATTACACCCAAATGTGAACCTACAGTAACAAATATTTTCTTGCTAAATAATATAAAAAGAAATCAATTTTATTATATTTATATATATATATATATATGTATAAATAATCTTATATATGGATACAATTATACTCACTTATACTGAAATACAGTTGGTGACGAATCTACACAACTAATTAAATTAAATGTACTTTTAACACGAATATTAGATACTTTTTTATACGACTTTAATATTTGATTATTAAAAGATATATGTTTATTCGTTTCTCCTTTACATATTTGCCATAAACATATATTTTCTTCATTTATATTATTAGAATTATTTGAAATTGATTTATCCATAATTGCACATGTTTCCTTAGACGTATTATTAATAGAAACATCAATTTCATTGGGCGTTAAATTAAATGATGATTTAAGATACGTCAGACATTCCTCAAATGTAGAATCTTTCAATAACATTCCAATTAAATTAGGAAATTGTATATTTACAAGTTCACAAATCTCTGTTGAAATTTGAAGAGCCATGATAGAAGTTCCACCTGATTTTATAAATCCATATGTTTTAGAATATAAATAATTATCCCATAAACTTGTAAAAATATCTTCAATTTCATCTTGATAATTATTCAATACAATTTTATCTTGCGTACATATATTTTGTAAATATTTCTTACAAATCTTGCCATTTTTGGTAAGTTGAATATCATTCATAAAATGAATTTTATCTGGTTTGTAAAAATCAGGTAAACTTTCTAAATGCAACTTAACTTTTTGTTTTAATTTATACTTATTAATTCCATTAATCATTCTAATGTGTATACACAAATGTAATTTATGTCTCTCCTTGTTCCACCAAGAATAACAATTATGTACAAAATCTAATTTGTTTATTATTTCATTAAGTTTTAATAAATTTAATTTATTTCCATATCGTTTTATAATATCGTCATGTCTTCCTTGATAAAATATTCGTCCAAGGTGATCAATCTGCGATAATATAATATTATAAAATATTTCAAATATAATATTAGAATAACGTAATAAAAAAGAAATATCTCTTACATGTACAATATCACCTGTATTACGAAATACAGGTTTAGTCAATTTATGAAAAACTTCATTGTCAATAACAGATATTCTACTGCTGCTTCCTAAATGATACACAAAATAATATATATTTTCTAAAATAAATATAATATATTAATTATATATATATATATATATAAAACATAAACAATTTATTACCAATAAAAAGATGACCTGAACCTTCAGTCACTAGACTACCATCATATTCACTTCTAACTTCAAATATTGTATTAGACAAAACTTTACCAAGATTAGAAGGTATACTTTTTCTATCTAATTTAACAATCTCATTAATACTAGCCCAACATGATACCTCTGTAATGCCATATATATTAAAAAATGCAGTATTATTTTCAATATGTCTAATCTTTTTAAGTTTGTCTATCTCGGGAAAATGTTCGCCACCCAAGATAATTACATGCAATGGATTAAATATTCCAAGAATTGTACTGGAAAGACGTTCAGGAGACCATCTATGAAAAAGTAGCGATGGAGTTGTTTGCAATACGGTTACTTTGCTCCAATGTATTACATTTAAAAGTCTACAAATACAATAATATAACATTATTAATATTACAGATGAATAAATTAATTGCAATTAATGTTATTTAGTTTTTGAATGATTACCTATCAGCATCATTTTTAATTCTTTTCGATACCATAAATATTGTACTGGCAGAATGAAGACTTAAAAATATTTCTATTATGCTAGGATCAAATGTTAAACTTGTCAGTTGTGCAATTTTGTCACGATGTGAAATACGTAGAATCAATTTTAAATCAATGATATTAGGTACTATACAAGAATGAAGTATTTTACAAATTTTTTCTTCACCAGTTGATCCTGATGTAGAAATTGCATAAGCATAACCACTATGAACATTTTCTATATATCGTTCCTGTGCTTCTTTTACTATGGTTAAATATATATATGCACCGTATAATTTAAATTTACAAATAATATCTTCAACGTCTACAGGATGTCGTAGAAAAATGTATTTTATGTATAACGTAGATACAAACTTGTTATACGTAGTAACATTTTTTAAAGATAAATTAACAAAACCACATCCTTTTGTTAATATTCTATGAATGAAATAAATACATTAATATTATTTTTCTTATTTCTGTGATTTATATATATATATATTAACATTAAAATTGATTCTACTCACCCTAATATTAACGTTGGTATACAAAATTCAGGAACATCATCGCAAATACCAATAAATTCAAAATGTTCTATATATTTTAACACTTTCAATGCAATTTTATATCTTCCTTCATTAAGATGTTTATATGTAATTGTATAAATTTTATTATATTCATGATACTCTACTGCTGTGTTATTTAAATAATTCCAATCAATGATATCAATCAAAGATTTGAATATGTCGTTTACATTATCATCATCATCATCATCATTATTTAACTTTTGCTTTTTATTTAATGGTTCCATAATAATTGAATTATTTATCGTTTAAAAGTATTAGTTTTAATTATTTATTATTACATTAAATAGATCATTTTTATTGTTATTACTCATAATTAGAAGTAATATCACAATTTTGTTTTAACACAAAACGTTGGTCTTTTGAGGAACTTCCTTTTATTCACTTTTTGAAATTAGGTTATGTTTACTAGTCCGATCGTAGCTATGTATCGATTAAAATTTCATTTAAAATATATATCGAATATGATAAATCGATTGTTATTATTTGTACAATACCAAAACAATTTTTTATTGCTGTGTGTGTGTGTGTATATGTGTATGTAAATATATATAATTCTTAATTTTGTTTGTTTTTTTTTTAATCTATTATCGAATAACAAAATATACATGAAATGATTTAATTATTTTCAAGATACTTATTACAATGAAATAAATACTGCTAATTATTGTAATTTTAAATTTACAAATTTAACAAATATTTATTTAACAAAGTAGAAAAGAGAGAAAGTAAATGAGTGAGAGTAAGAGTGAAAGATAGAAAGACAAAAAGGGTAAGAGATATTATTACCTAAGAATTACGGAAATGTATTTAAATTATAATTTTACAAATTAATCTTAAAGATTTAGATTTAGATTTAAAGATAATTTAAAATGTGTTATGGAAAGTATGAGAGAAAAAAAAAATTATAAAAAATATGATGAAATCTGTTAACAAGTCATATACAGTATATAGAAATTTAATTAATATTTGCCATAAAATATTTACACATATTTAATCTAAGTTGATCAAAATTAGATATAAATCAAAAGTATTAAACTTGTTTTTTTAAATTACACCATTTAAGCACTTCATCATCAATGAAATTATGGTTTCATGTAAATTTGTTTTGAATGTACTCCGTGTCGTAACGTTTTATAGCACAGTTATATGAAAGAAAAAAAAAAAAAAGACGAAAGAAAGATCAAAATGTAACAATTTGAAATACTAAAATTAAATATATTTTTAAAAAGAGATCCTTTGGCTTTTTATTTCTCCTCGCACCATTCATTTTCCTTGCGAACTTGTTCTTCTTCAGATGCTGTAAAGTCATTCTTAATGTTGAATGTTTTACGAATTTCTTCAGGAGTTTTGCCTTTGATCATATTAGCAACAGTCTTGCACGTAACATCTAAGAGTCCCTTAATATCAAGATAATTAGCCGCCAAAATTAATTCAAACAGTGTACCCTGATCAACCTAAAAGAAATAATAACGTATCTTATCAAATATTCTTAAATTATGGTAAACAAATGATTTGACATGTTTCATAATACAAAGGTGGCTTATATAAATCTCGTTTAACGTTAGCATTTACTTAATTATTGTATAGAAATAAATATTGCTTTTAAATTTGAATAATCTATTTATAACAACAGAACGTTTATGTTAATAGATTAATGAGTCACCTTGTACACTTTTTCTCTAGGTATAACGATATATATATAATATATAATAATAATAATAATAATAAAGATAAGATACTTTTAAGAAATCAGCGTCCCAAGAGCTAATATCATCAGTACGTTTTTCTTTATTTTCATCATCTTCAGGTGGTGGTGGATCATCTTTATGATATGTTGCCCATTGTAATACTTTCCTCAGAATAACAGAATTAACATTAGGCAAGGGAACGGCTTCCTCTTCTTCATCATCCATACCAAGATCTTCTAACATAGTTTTTATCGTAACAGAACATTTTGCAATATCTACGTCTATCTCAAATACTTCTCCATCAGAACTTTGCAGCTTGATATTAGGCATCTATAATAAAAGAAATTTCTAATGGAATAAAATATTTCAAAAATGGATAAACTTAGTCATTCTTTTATACACAATGTTGCACATTAAGTATATATACATATATATATTTCTACTTAACCTCGACGCATATGTATTACGCATATAACTAAGTAATTGCAGATATATAGATTCTTGTAAATAATTTGCATCAAGGGTAAATATCAAAAGTTGTTTACAGCAATTACACTTGATATTTGTTACGAATTATTGTTTTGTTTTTTTTCTCTCTCTCTCTCTTTTTTTCTTTTTTTTTTTTTTGAATTCAAAATCATTAACAACGATCCGCAAATAATTTTAATTCTAACGCAACACATTTCATTCCTAACGACGAAACGACATTTTCTCTCTATACTCGTGCTTATATATATATATATATATTTTGAAAAAAAATGAAATAATTCAAATGGAATTGATATACTGTAATTTCCTATGCACGAACGATATTATAAAAATTAATATTACCTTGTTGATTTTATTCGACGAAGAAATATGTTTACACTTGCTCAAAGAATAAGAGAAATAATGTTATAACTTGAACGCCTTCCACGAAGAGACTCTACATAGGTTTTGATTCTTCTTGGTTCTCTTTCCTTTCTCCTTCTACTCTTCTTTCTTTCTTTATTTCTCCTTTTGCTCGTTCTATTGGTCATGTAGAAACATTTTCTATTGGCTAACGCTCAATCGATACTCTCCTCTCATTGGTCTATCGTACCTTCCGTAATCGAACTTCGATTTGAGGGAATTTTGAATCGCTAAATGCATCACATATAAATAAATATATAAATCTAATAGAATATTTTAATATTAAATAACCTAATACACGTAATTTTATTGTAGGAAACTTTAAAACTAATCACCATTATAAAATATAGATTATGCAATAGTTACGCCATCTTTCAAACTCTAATACACAATTTATTGGTTGTTAAATTTGTAATAAAAGAATGTACGTAAATGTATTTGAACATTGACTAGTATTAAAAATACGATTTACCGAATCAATAAATATTTAAATCGACTAAAATATTGTTTTGAATGAAATAATATACTTGTATTTTACTCAATTTCAAAATTGACCGCCATTATGAAAACTGACCATGTGACCGCATGACGACATCGTCGGGTGAATAGATGATTGGTCAATCCGTAGAAATCATGCGCGCGAATATTTCCCTCACTCTTTCTTGATTCCTCAGAAAAGACACATCGTTCTCTTGCTCGGTTTCTCGTATCACGGTGGCTGTGAGTACCGTGAAGGACATTAAAGTGTTAAGACGCACACGATCGAGAAAATACATATATAAAAACGCTACGTAATTTTCTATATTTATAAAAAATTATCATACTTTCGGAGATAGGACTACGTAAGACAATTGTTAGATTGCATCTATCGCTGTCAAAACAGTGTTTAAGTTATTTAAAAAAAATTTCTCTCTTTAGATATTATTATTCATTTATCTGTAAAAATAACAAAATATTCATTCAAATTTAATTATTAATATTAATTAAAAAATTTAAAAGAAAGGGATAAAAGAAAAAAAAAAAGAAAAGAAATGACGTGATTTCACGAAGATCGACAGAAAAAAAAAATAATCATCGGACGTTTAACATAATATAAGTAAAACAAAAAGAAAAGAAAAAAAAATTAATATAATTCTTTCTTTCTTTTTTGTTTTTGTTTAATTAAACAATAATTTAATATTATCCGAAGTTTGCTTATTATGGACGACCCCTAAAATCATTCCTGTCAGTGACAGTGTATCTTAATTTTTCAAATACTACGTATATATGTATACATATATATATATATTCACATTTTTACATGTACATAATCCGAATACATAGAAAAAGAATGTTATTTAATCTTTCCGTTTAAAAACAAAGAAATATATAAAAAATAGAAAAAAAAAAAATTCTGGTGATCCAATTTCTTGGAAAGATAAAAAGAAACTTTTGATTTACGAAATAAGTGTGTAACACCAACATACAAGTACATCCACCCACATACATACATACATACATATATACAAACACGTTGATCAACTATTTAAAACCAGCAGAAGGGAAATACTAGATTCACGAGATGGAGTTCAAGTTCAACGTCAATAAACTACTACCTAGGAAGATCAACAAGGCTACTCATATGCTAATACCAGAAGATTTTAAAGGGGATCGTCGTCAGCTAAAGTAAGATAATCATTATGATTATTATTATTATTATTATTATTATTAGAAAAATAATCTTATATATATTGCCCCTTTTTCTTTTTCTATTATTCTAATTAACATACATACGAGTAGATATGTATATATATATATTAGTGTGTATGTAAGAGGACATTACACCTGTGTTATTAGCCGGTCATTACAAGAACGCTTATACGCTGGCGCGAAATGCTGTGTGTGGGCGAGAACGAATGGCTTCGCCCCAGTATTATTGATGACCTTTTTTTTTTTTAAATGGACCATATATGTTTATCGTAATAATAATCTTGCATAATATTTCATCCCCGATTGCTTTTTTACAATTATTTATCCAATTTTTATTAACGAACACTTCGTTGTATTATCAATTAAATGATAATGATAATGACGATGATGTTAATATTGATGCAACAAATGTGGATGAAACATCTGGAAATAATTAATTCTAATATATTATGCGATAAATATATATGTATATATATATATGTATATGTATATATGTATGTAAAATGGTGTAAATTTAAAAGAACGTTCGAAGAAATTCTTAAGCAGTGACTCGAACGAATGAACGAACGAACGAACGAACGCTCACGGAAGTCTATGACGAAATGGTAGAGTGCTTTCTCACCGTTTACCTCCCGTTGGTTGCTCCGTTATTATGTGGAAAACTATCTCTCTTGGATCCCTCTTTCCTTTTTGCATAGAGAACAGAACAACGACGTTGTTGGGGAGTTGGATAAATATGTAATGCCAACTCTCCTCTTACCTACATACATACAAATAAATAATATTACTTTTCAAAATATCTCCTTAATGCGTTCACCAATTTCAATATTTTATTTTTACTTTTCCTATAAATCAATGATTTTTAATGTTATTGCAAAATATTGTACAATATTTGAACTATTGGGCTGTTCGGAAAATAATAAATGCATGAATTGATGCAAAATGGCAAATAATAACACGTGAGATCGATGAGAAGTTCAATTTATCAAATTCAACTATTTATGCTCATTCAAAAGCCTTAGGTTTTATTTTTGAAATGAAAATTGTTTTCATTTTTACAAAAGAAAAATAAAATTATTTTCCGAACAATCGAATATACTTGGAAGATTTAAAGTTAAAAAGATCTGGGTATAAATTTGCTAACAATTTAACAAATAAATGTTGAAATATGTGTTGAACACGAATTGAATTGATCGATATGTTAAATATGTCTATTTATGAGACATAAATGTGATGAAATATTATCGAATCGTCCTTAGACTACTTCAATCGATGTTAAGGTCGATGTCTATAGACGATTATTATCTTTTCAAACTTATAATAATGTTTTATTATTATAAAAAAGTATTACAAACAAATCTAGACGTAAATTACACTGTTATAGGACATTGAAATAATATATCAGTTATTACAAGATTAGTTGAAAGTTGTAATTCAATGAACATACCAACGTGTATTATGTAACGATGCTCTATTCGTGATGTCATTTTCTACGTATTACAATGTCCCATCGAATTAATTAATTCTATCGTTGTTTCAAATCTGTTTAACAAAACAAAATAAAACAAAATGAATTATTTTGAATAATGTTACAGCGAAGATCAACGACAAATAAAAAAGATTTTGGATGACATGGGTGAAGCCTCTGCCAAAGCTCAAGGATTAAGCAAGCCAATTACCAGTGCTAGTAAACTTCGAGACACTGACCATATTGTTTATCTTCTTGTTGACAGCGAAGCGAACAAGTAATTTGTTGTTTACAAAATTATTCTGAAATAATAATATAAAAATAGATAATAATGAATAATTTGGAAATAAAATTAAAAATATATATTATAATATGTTTATGCTCGTGTAAACGAGTTGTAATATTTTCTATGAAAGCAAAGAGAGCTTTCATTGTATATAGCAATGGTGGTGGATCGATAACGAAGCTGAGTTTTACTGCATAAAATGCGTCTTTTGTAGCGTCTTTTTCTTTTTAAATTGACGTAGAATTTTGTTGATTCATTTTAATTGATATTTTTGTTTATCATTGATCAATTATTTCAAATAAAATGATGGATTTAATATATATCGAATATTTGTTGTTGTTGTTGTAATCATCTTATGTAACAATTCGAGAAAGATGAAATTAGAGATAAGGATAAGTGTTAAATTAATCTTTTTCGGTATCGCGAAACACGTTAGATGTTAATTTACGATATAATATACTTAAATATATGATATTTAATTAATCATATCAATTATAATATATGTAATATCATTTGATGATCTTCAATTTTGTAGCAATTTGGGAAGCGTAGTAGGTTTGCTGAAAACTGGATCGAAAAATTTATTTATGTTCGATGAAACTGGTGCAAGTTATCAATTGAAACCACGGTGTATCTTGGATTTTTATATTCATGAATCACGACAACGTATGGGTCTTGGAAAAATTCTTTATCAATACATGCTAACCGTAAGTTTTATTATACATTTAATTTTCATTGAATATAAAACGTGACGATTATACAAGAATAATTTCGACATTTTGTAAACGTACAAAATAATTCATCTAATAGCATGATGAACAAAAAAAAAGAAGACAAAATGATAAAAGTAAGATAATAGGTGTTGTTACGGATTTAAAGGTAACATGAAGAAGGTGAGTGAACTCTCATCATGCTAGGCCATTTATTTCGACACGGTTCGTTGATTTGTATCTAATCCATGGTAGTTAGTAGTAGTAGGAGCAAAAGTTTCTCCCTCAATTTTTATTAAATAAATATATATGAATAATATTAGATAAATCAACGATCAACATTTCTTTCTATATACTTTTAAATCGTTTTGATATTTCACGATGAATAATTAGAATTTTATTACATTAATTATTTTCTTTAAAGATATTTTGATGAACGATTACAAATTATCTCTATACGCGTGTTTCTCATGTGTGTTTTGTTTTGTTTTGTTTTTTCTTTTTCTAGGAAGAAAATATCAGGCCAGTGAAATTAGCGATCGACAGACCATCGGAGAAATTTCTTGCCTTTTTACAAAAACATTATGGATTGTCCAAAATCATACCGCAAAATAATAAATTTGTAGTATTCGAAGGATTTTTTGACGACGGTGAGAACTTCCTTCTTATTCTTCTTCTTCTTCTTTTTTTTTGTTTTTGTTGAATCAATAAACCCATTAAGAGACTTGGGTCACTGTGTTTATTCGTGTTTACGTAAAATCAATAAGTGTTGAACTAGAAAAGAAGACTTTGTGTTAAAAAATATTAAATAATATTTATATCATTTTATTGAATTAATCAACAAGTCAAATCAAACATTTCTAATATAAAATGCTAGCACAGACATTAATTGTTTAATTCAATAAAATAAATTTAATTGATGATATCAAAATGTCATATTAACCATTATAAAAATCCTTACGAAGGATTGTCTGGTAATCTGAATAACACCATAAAAGTACAAGGCTAAAGTCGAGTCATCGTCGATCCCACTTCATTTTAAAGGTACGAAAAAGGTACACCCACAAGGTCAGTCAGTCAGACAGTCTGATATAGGCCAGATACTTGCCAATGTTATTGCATTGGAAATAAAATAACAAAAATATAAAATAAAAGAATACAAAAGAGGGGAGGAGGAGGGAGGGAGGGGAGGGAGGGAGGGGACAGTTGGAAATAGCAGTCAATGCTATATTGATAATTTAATTTTAAAAGAGCTTATAGACTAACAATCTGATTTCAAATTGTATGATTTTATCCTTGACTTAGATTTATGTTGATTAAATATAACTAACAACTTATAAGTTTCCCCATTTGTAAAATGATAGCTTTGTAAAAAAAAAAAAAAAACTTCGTACTTTGATCTAATTTGTATTATTACATTTTGTGTTTGTTCATTTTTTTTTTTAGAAATTCAAGATGTTAGAGCTAACAGATATAGTTTACCTCCAAAACATTCATTTGATATCGGAATGACTAATAATAATAATAATAATGCAACGAAAAGTAATAGGTAAGTGTATTATAAAAAAATATAATATGAATATATATATATATATATATATATATATATATATATATATATATATGTTATAAATAATAATAAAAAAATATTTGTCAATTAATATTTTGTTCTATAGAATAATTTTCTTTTTAGTACAAATGATATCCCGTATGTTTCTACAGTTTCACGAAGTTCTTACGGAAGATACGCCGCTGGACGACCACCTTGTTCAATGGCAAACGTAAATAAATTTATATATATAATATATCCTAATAATTATTAATAATATTTATAGAAAAGAAAAAAAATGTATACATATAATTATTATAGATAATTCATAACACTGCAATGGTTGGCCAATCAGTTGAACGAACAGGGTGAGTAAAATCGGATAGTACAATGTTTGAACGACGATTGAAATTGTTGTGCGATCTTTTTTTAAAAAAAAAAAAAAAAAAACATTTGTACAAACGATTATTAGTTAAACAATTTATATTATATTATATTTATTTTGTTATTATTATTATTATTATTTTAATACGCGAAATAATCCGAATTTTTAACGAGGACAATAATAATCTATTTGGAAAAATAAAAAAAAATAAAATAAAAATAGAAACGAAAGTTATAAACTTCATTCGACGATCGTTAAACGAAATATTTGTTCTTGCCAAAGTAACAGATTATTTTTCAACATATATATACATATATATAAATCGTTAAATTATAATTTAGAAAAATGATTAAGTTTGTTTTTTTTTCTCAATTATTATTCTATGTAAATATGTAAGACAAATGTTGTGCAATTAACGCATAAAAAATATGTTTGCTTGTTTTTTTTTCTTCCGATTACTAAATGACAAAAATCACTTGTTAATTTCTTTTGTAGTTGATTATTAAAAAAAAAAAAAAATACAAAAAAAGGATAATATTTATTTAAATAATTTATTTTTGACGAAATATTTCAATGTTTAAAAAAACGATATACAAAAAAAAAAAAGAAAAAAAAATATATATTTATATTGTAAAAGTTATTTCATATGTTATAAGAAAATATTATTGTTCCAATATTATAATATGTTGTTCGTTAATACTACACATTTAAAAAAATACTTGAACACTTTATCATGCATGTTTTTTTACACACATGCAAAAATATATATATATATAGTATATAATTAATTAATTTGTGATATTTATATTCTACTATTTAAAATTATTCGCACCGATCTCATTTATTATATATTATATTCGTTTAATTTTTTAATTATTATTATTATTTTTTTTTCCATGCTTCACATAAGTCTTATGCTTATTATCTTAAAAATTATTTAAAAATTTGCTCATTGTAAAATTATTTTTCGTTGCATTAATAACACACGCAAATAACGCATATATCTTTTTTTTTCTTTTTTTTTACTTATATCTTATAATTATTATTAAGAGTTAATCTTTGGTAAATTTAATTCTTATTAAATGTTGATCATAGAAAATAATATTATTTAAAAATAGCACATGTGACGTTTACATTTTTGTTAAATCCGATTGATATCTAAGCCTTCAGAGAAGGTTGTTGCTAAAGCTTTTTTTAGTTTTGTAATTTTATTTCTTTATGTATACATTTTTATCATCCACATACATACATACATATATATATTAACGAATTTTATTGTTAAATAAAATAAATCATAAATCATAAAAGACTTAATATCGTATATAAACACACACACACACAAAATTGCATGTCCTTATTTATGACGTTATGACATTTTTTTACGCCATCACGGAAAGAGATGAAATTTTCAGTGAGGATATTAATTCGTCCCCTGTAACACCAAAACTGGAACGACCTCGGTCTTTAAGTTTATATTCGGAGGATGATCAAAAGCAACATACAAATGAAACATCAACGGTATTGAAGACAGTTGTTCCTAATAATAACGAAGCAACATCATTTGCTACCGTTATAAAAGATACTGAAAAAACTGTTAAAGCTTCACCTTCATGCAGCCAAGAAGTAACTGGAAATAATCAACACACTCATCTCGATCTTAAATTTTATCATTCGCCATTATGGTAAAAAAAAAAAAGAAAAAAAAAAAAGAATACATTTATAAGTGGTATACTTATCGTAAACACAAAATAGACAAATAAATTTGATGCTAAAGTAACTTTTGTTCTGTCTTAGATGTTCTCTTATTAATGAATATGAAGAAAAATATCCAGTTCTTATGACAACACTTTTTCTTATTTCATTAACTAATTTATACTTTTGATTTAAGATTATTAATTAGTTTCTTTTTTTTTTTTTTTTAAATGTTAATGTTATGTTTTTTTAGGTACACTTAAGTATTGGTATTTAATTTGTGTTATATCAAATGCAACAGTATTGACACAGTTTCATTTAATGACTATTAATATAATAAAGCAATAAAAAAAATACACCAAACAAAAACAAAAAATCCTAATACAAGCAAATAATTTACTCCAAGTTCATAATTTATTTCTATTACAACAAGTGGCAAAGAAACTTTTTAAAAATAATAAAATATAAAAACAAAACAAAAATTATTTATGATGCAAATTTATGTTTAAAATTAATCAAATATCTAATCTTAAATTATTCATATAATCAAAAAAAAAAGAAAAGAATTAAAACATATATATATATATAATAAAATTGTAACCAACAAAAAAGAAATATAAATAAATAAAATATGAATTAATTTAAAGGTCATCAACTCTCTCACTTGTAATCCAGGAAATTAAATTTATACATGTTTCCTGACTTAGGTATAAATAATTAATGAACTTTGCTTCAATAATACCTAAACCTATACCAGCACAAATGTCAAGAATATTATGTCGTCTCATTAAAAGTCTAGATAAACATACACAAACACACCAAGATATTAGGGATAGTGTAAAAATAGAAGGCACTTCCCATATATATAAAAAGAAATAAACAATGAAAGTAGATCGGGATGCATGTCCTGATGGAAATGAGTATTTATCAGGACCAATTGAAAAAAGATCATCATTAACTGCAGGTCGTCTTCTTCTTGTTAATGCTTTCAATATTGCAGTTATGAATATATCAATAATGAAGCCTAAAGAAATTTCAGTTATGTATATTTACATATATATATTTAAAAGTCTAACCTTACTTTTACTTTAGAAATTATGATCACCACTTACCTATGAAAAGGTTAACTTGCATTTGATAAAGAGATGTACTGTTAAAAATCCATATCGAAGCTAATGTTAATGCCATCCAAGTAATTCCATGACACGATATCTTTGAAAATGAAATAATTGTTAACATCTTGAACATTGACCTTTTTTGACACATGACATATTATACTTAAAATATGTTTTTTTTTTTATATATTTTTTTTTTTTATAAATACCTCTAATGCTTTATAATGTGTTTTGAGTTGTTTAAATGTTACATATTTTTCAAATGTAGTTACAAAAGCATAGCTTAAATAAATATCAAATGCTAATATTTTTTTCAATGACGAAGGTACTTGTCGTTTCTTAGTCTGCATTATGAAAATAGATGAAACAAAGTAACATTAATTAATAAAATATTATTATCGCATTATATCCATAAATAAATGATTTTTAGACAAATACCTGATCCATGATAATCTTTGAATAAATTATTTAAATGAGAGTACAACCAAAAAAATAATAACCAGTTCTTTCTTATCTTATTGATATATTAACTTGTATTAACTCAAGAGAATAAATCTCGTTATCGAAACTAACCTAAACTAATCACGAATTAGGAATAGAAAAAACAATACAGAAAAAATTTCGATGGCGCTAATATCTGACGGTGATATACGAAAGTATAAATTCAAATAGATTTTAAAAATTCAATAGCACTACTGACACCTAAAAGATGGGATGATTAGAAAGTAAAAAAAAAAGAAAAAAAGTTACAACATTGTATTAGTAATATTTGTTACAAGATTATATTTGATTAATATTTAATGTCCCCCCATTGGAAATGAAAAAATGTCTATTTTGAAATTATAATTTGATTTTAATTCAATATTAGAAACCTTGGCATTAAGTATGTATAATAAAATTACAATTTATTTCGAACAAAAACGATTAGTTAGATTGACAAAGCTTTCGAAAAAACGACGAAGAATAAATAATCGAATATTTGCCACTGTTGCAATCATTACATAAAATAGTATATAAAAATAATCGAAAGAAAAAAAAAACACAACTGTCCATAATTTCCTCGTGCAGTGACCGATGATACCAAAAAAATGGCGTCGCACACGTACTTAAACATGTAAAAGATATAAAAAGAAGGTTGTCACGCGTGGCGTACTCTCGCGATGTCGAACGGAACAATTTTGACTAGCGCTGATTGGCGAATACAAGCCGTGGGTGGCGATTGTTATGCGCATGCTCGAGATATCGCCATATTTAATTTTTCGCAAGTTTTATTCTTTGAATGATAAGAATAAAAATTAATAAAAAAATATATTCAATAAAATGATGACAATTACATAGAACCGCTAATCATAACAAGAAAATATCAGTAATCATGAAATTATGATATGTGGTTAATAAAAAAAAAATGAAACCGCGTTTTATGAGAATACATTTGATACGCTCTAGGCACCGCGGATTTTTCCAGACGCGCGCGATTTTATTCTGCGCATGGAAAGCAATTTTGCCCAATCATAAATAGGGCTATTGTGGGGGGATGGTGTATGCCGCTGGCGCATTTCATACATCCGAGTGTAATGGTAACGAGATAGAGGCGTCGCGCGGGGATATCGGCCGGTTAGCACCGTAAATACCCTATTACCGTACTAGCGCCAAAAAAATCTAATCTTAAAAATTGCATTTATTTATTTACAATACGTGTTTTGCGAGATATCACTTTAATTGTAACGTTGCCTGAAGTTATCTCTCATTTCTTTCCTTTATACTTAACTCCTTTGTATCTCTCTCCTTTTTTTTTTACACATTTCTTTTCCAGCGATCTTTTATACGCATATACATACATATATATGTATATATATATATATACGTGTACGTTCTCTCGATACACGAAACGCGAGTGTAAAAAGAAAAGAACACGTTCCACGAGGAGAGAGCGTTGATCAGCTTGCTTGGTTGCTTGGTTGCTTGCTTGATTGTGTCTTTCTTTAACGTGTACCATCTTCGTCCTAGCCGTATTATTGTAGTAGTCGTCTTGGTCGTCTTTGTAGTGTGCCGTTGATCGGGTAGTGCGTGCGAGCGGTCGAGCGAGTGATCTGTGACGTCAGTGGTCCGATCGGCTGTCACCTGTCAAGCCGACGAATCCCTCGCCTTACCTCAGTCCCCTTCCCCCTTGACTCTGGAGGCACCCCCCAATCCCCGCACAACTCTTCCTTGCCAGGGATTCTCCCACCATACTCTCACAACCACCACCATCAGTACAATCACCACCCACCACCACCACCACCACCACCAACCACCACTACTACCCTTTTCGCGAGAACCTCGCGAATCTCCCACCCTCGATCTAGTACTCCAGCTCCTCTTTCTCCTCTTCCACCTCTTCCAGCTCTTTTACCTCACCCACCAAATACTCCGAGCACCCGTTTTCCCTCGCTCTTTTTCACCAGTATGTTATATCCATCCCAGCGGTACCGCCACCTCTCTCCCAGGCACGAACTGCCGCCGGCAACCTCTCTTGCCCTTTTACCCTTTTATCCCAGCCATTCCGAAAACCGAGACTTCTGAGTACGAGTATCCCCCTGGCTGCATCCCCTTCTCTCACCGTATCTCCCTTTTTCTCTCTCTCCCTCTCTTTTTCTCTCTTTTCCTCCCTGATATATACTCCCATTCGCCTCCTGCCGCGACGACCGCAGACACAAAAACAATAACAAATCGATTCGCGAGAGAGAGCAATGGGAGGGGGTCAGTGCAGTAGGGCGACAAGGATGGCGCTTTACACGAATAGAGGGGAACCCTATCTATCTCTCTCTTTCTCTTTATCTTTCTCTTTCTCATTCTCTCATATATACACATACACGTACTCAATTCTCATCCCCCGCACTCTCTCGGTCTCTCTCTTTCTTTTTAGATATTGTATAGAGAACGTTATGCTAAAGTATGCATGCACGAGGGTTGGTCCGATGGTCAGGAATATCGCGAGTTCGTTCGTTCTGCGCCAGCACGTATCCGGGCAGTTCGTTTACATACTTATTAATTTTGCCATTACCTATTTATCTATCGTGCATTTGTATTTTTATCTATTTGGTGGTACACGCGGCTAACACTTTCGACACTATAACACGATTAAAATCGGCCGATTCTTGCAAGGACCTAACATGGTCTATTACTACTGCATGGGGGATGAGACTACGTAATGACGATCGGCTACAGTTGCGGTAGGCCACCAGAGGGGCACCATGTAAGAAACATCCAATCCCTCTGTCCATCTTATTCTTCCTCAGAAGAATAATTCTTTAGGGTCGATCTCTTCGTTTTATTTGGGACTCATACACACAATTAAGTTAATTTATCTTCAACTATTTCAGTCAAATTATCGAACTGGGGCACATGTCTGACGTCACAGATCATAAGACGGGTAATTGCTCGTTAAAACTCTTCCTCTTCTTCTTCTTCTCTTTAATCTGTGTTCCATGAAATAAATTTAGATCTCCCTTTCGATCGTTTCGAGTTAAAAATATATACATCGAAACAAATGTATCTATCGAAGATATTTTCTTTAGATGGAATATGGGATTTGGAGTCTTCACGTTGCGGGTGAACTTTGGGGAGACCCGCGCCTCGCCCGTAGACATCCAATCTTACCCCCAAATGCGACACAATTACTTCCGAGGGCTGCTTTAGCCCTAAGTGCCCTACATCAGCCAACAAATATGGTACCTTTGCCATTAACATTATCTGGCCCACCCTATGGCCCAATGGAATTGGTTACCAAATCTTCCGGCAGTACTAACGATTTAGAATCGGTCAAAGATGAAAATAACGATAATTTTCGTCGCGAAGATAATGACGATGGCGACGATAACGAAGGCAACGAAGAAAACATCGAAAAGCCCGACGAAAATGAAAATCAAGTAAGGTTTATATTTTCTTCATTATTCATTTCAATCTCGTTATATGAGAATTAAATTTTCTCATTAATTATTTAGACTTCCGAACAAATCGAAAATAACGAGAACGAAGATGAAGAGGAAAGTGATAGCGGAAGTACCGGGAGTTCCCATAAGTCGGCTAACAACAATTTTCCTACGAAATTGCTAGATCCTATTTCATGTTTAGGTCTCGATAAGGTATATCATTATTTAATGAAGTTTTAATAAGATCTACAAGTATATATATTTCCTTCATATTCAATATATAGGAGGGAGCAGTGTCGCCAGTATTGAATGGTTGGGTATTAGGAGCATATACAGCAATGTTAGGAAGATTATCAGCAGCTACTGCAGCTTTAGAAGCTACACAAATTCCTAATATACCATCGGATAGTGACTCAGAAAGTGAGAACTCTTCTTACACGGAAAGGTATACTATACTACATTATTATTAATATTAAGAACGAATTGCAATAATGAAAAAAACGATATTTTAATGATGTACAGGTCAAGGGGTAGTAGTCCAAATGGAAATAACATTCATCGAGGATATTCATGTGGTTCTTGCGATGTAGTAGCACCAACGCGACCAGCTTTAAGAAAGCACATAGCGGATTGTCATCCAACATTAAATGGTACGGAAACAAGGGAATCCAGGACTTGTCCCGCCTCTGGCTGCGATTTTACAACGAATAGTAGATGTGACATGGAAACACATGTAGCAGCACATGTGGCTCAAGGAATGACACCTACTGGAAAGAAACGTACCCTGGCATTGCAACGCGTCAGGTATAGGTACTCAAGTCAAATCATTTTTTATTACTTCTTCTTCTTCTTCTTCTTCATCTTCTTCTGTATAAATACATTACATTACATGTTCCTCATGATTTTGTTTGATTATGGGTTTATTATTTGTTCCGAAAATTAGATACGAAAGGGAGGAATATCGATGCTCTTTATGTTCCTATGCCTGTACGATCGAGAAAGCTTTTCAAAGGCATTTGAGAGCACACGCGAGAGGTACAGCACCAGAGACAAGAGTTAGTTGTGCAGTATGTGGTGCCGATAGATCATCCGAAGTTGATCTTAGTAGACACATGAGAAGGCATAGAGATGATCGTTACTTTTGTTGTGATATCTGTATCTTTCGTACGGTTCAATTGAAAAAGGTAATTAATAAGATCAATTTCTCATCATATTTATATTCGTACAATTAATAAAAATAGATTTGACCTAGATTAAATATTAATGATTCAGTTGATTCAACACCGTCGTATGCACACCGGTGAGAAACCACATCTTTGTCCGCATTGTGCATACAGAAGTGCACGTCGTGATAATTTACGGAGTCACGTTAGGCGAGTTCACAAGAAAGAAAATTTATATTGCGATACGTTCAGTCCACGTGGTATGTTGATAGCACCAACTATGAACGATAAAGATGATTCGATCGTCGTACAAAGCCCCGCGTCTTCACCGTCCTCTAATCCTGAGTCGACGAATTAGTGCTAACGAAGATATTAGTAATTCAAGGAAATATTCTTAGCCTCTTAACGACTTTCAGTCAAAGGTAAATATTCATTTTTTTCTATTTATTTATTTATTTAGTTATTTATTTATTATAGGTCTGCGCGATGAAAAAGGTTCCTATAAGTGAATTTTTACAATAGCCCTCTTTAAGATTAATTTTTGGTTTGTCAATTTTAATATGATAATAATAGGATGCAATAAATAATAAATTATGTTTAGAAATACTTTTGACCTCTATCTAGATAGTAGATATAGATATATATACTATCTAGAAAAAAAAAAAGAAAAAAAAATAATTACTATCTGATATTTCAGCTACTGTTAAATGGTAGCATGGTAGGAAGATCTTGAAAGTGAATGGCTGTGAAATGAAGAACAAGAGGCTAAATGTAAAACTTCGAACGAAACGTTGATTTTTAATTATTAAGATTAATATTTCTATGTATTATTTTATTTTTCTTTTCCTTTTTATACCCTTTTGTTTTATTATTTTATTTATTTTAGGATAAACGATTGAAAAAAAAAAAAAAGAAAAACGAAAGAATTGTCGAACGAATTTTGATCGATAATGATCAGAGATTGATAAAACAAGGTGATCCTCTTCGTCGCGTTTATTTATAACATTGATTTATTTAATATTAAACAAAAAGGTGAAGAAGAAAAGAAAAAGAAAAACCTATGTTCAAAGAATAATCGATCTCTGATCATAATCGTTGATAAATCAATGATTTATTTAGAAATCTGCATGTGATCATGTTGATCATTTCAATCTCTAATCTTCGAATTTTATTAAAATAACAATTACATATAATAATAATACTAATAATAATAATAATAAGCGCTAATTAAATTAATTGATTAATTATTGTTATTAAATTTAAAAAAAGTAATAATAATAATAATAATATTAATATTAATAATATTAATAATAATTAAAATAAAACACGTAAATAACTAAAATTCGATATTCGAACCATTTGGGTTTCGATAATAACGAAAAAATAAAAGCTGCATAATGGTGCTAGAATCGTAGACTGGATCATAGTGAAAGACTGATAGTAGGTGTGTTTACACGGCATCATATATATATATATATATATGTATTTATTATGTATATGTATATTTCATTTTATTTTACATAAATATTATGCCGTGATTTAACGAATGAGAAAGATTAAGACTGCAATTCTATACCGATTTAAAAGCTAGAGTATCTCCTGTTCCAAAAAAATATTATAATATATGTATATATATATATATATATTGAATTAATTCTATCTTTTTGATATATAATTAAAATTGAATTTAAATGTCGCATCGCTTGTATCATCTCATAAGATTCGATTTATCAGGAGAACTCTGGCTAAGAGACTAGAAAGAAAAGGGTGCTATTTTCTGACTGATTTGATATTTTTTTGAATTAAAAATCATTTAACCCTTTCGCTAAAGGGCGTATTTTTCGCGGTGCTATTTCTATTGTAACGGGCTATTAATACGTGTCGCATCATTAAAATTGCAATTTATTTTTTAAATAATTTTGTTTGTTGATATTAATGATTTTTAATGAAAAGAAACAAAACATTAAAATTAACATGTCCAGTGTGGGATATTTGACGTAAAACCCGACCCCACCCAACCCCCATATGCATGCATATGTTCGTCGTGTGTAAAATACGCGGTATTTTATGGAGAGCCACTATAGTGGTCTCGTAGTAGCGAAAGGGTTAATCATTTAAATGATTTCTATTTAAAAAAAAAAGGCATTAATACAGCATGTTTTATTTTTATTTAAATATGCATAAAATAAAATAATAAAATAAAATATAAAAAAAAAAAGATAAAAAGAACCGTCCCCTAAAATCGATTAAGATTTTCGAGAGAGACAAATGAAGTGATGAAAATGGAGAACAAACAAACAAACAAAGAAAAAAAAATAATAATACTATTGAAAGAAGTGTCAGGGTGGGGGGGTGGTAAAAAAATAACGAAAGCCAATACTTATAAATGTGTGTCAATTTTGAATCTATCGTACTACGTTCTAGTCGATAATTAATTAATTAATTAAACAAACAAAAACATACATACATACATACATACATGCATGCATACAAACAAAGACCGAAAAAGAAAGGGAATGAGAAAAAAAAAATGAAGAAAAAGAAATGCAAAGACATTTTGTAGAAAAAACGATTTAAAATACAGTGAAAATCTTTTGAGAGATTAAAATTGCAAATGAATTTAAGCGCTAAATGAAAGCTCTCGGTAATTATTGTATACATACATACATACATACACATATTACACATATACGAAGACACATACAAGTATAATAATATTAATATTAATATTAATAATAATAATAATAATAATAATAATTATAATAATAATATACTTTCTTGCTTTTGATATATATTGTATTTAAATGATATTTTATATTTGTAAACGGTGTTTATTGCAAATGGTGGAACGATGAATTATCAACGACATCTTTTTATATATATATCTCTATCTCACACATGATTTTATATATATATATATACATAATTATGTATATATATATATATATATATATATACATAAGACATATTTATGTATATATGCACCGCCTGCCTATAAAATGGCTCCTGATTATATTATAATTGTTGCATAGTATTTAAATGTAGTTTGAGAGATGAATTTATGTTATTTTTTCTTACAACGTCTGAACGTTATTTAAAATATTTATATTTATATTTATATATATATATTTATCATTTTAACCCTTAAAGTGCATATGGGGTGTTTGACACTCCAACAAATGTTTGATCTCTCGAAAACGGTACTGAATTTGAAAAAATTTGGTTATTTGTCTAATGCCATCTAGTGTTCATTCAGATGGCTATAAAACCTATTCTACTTTAAAAAAAGATGTATCAAATTACTTTAAAAAAACATTGCGAGGAATTTAAATATTAAATAGCAGCTTCAGGAACACGTTGGGGGTGTCAAACACTCACAGTGGTGCATTTTAACTACCTTTTACCAAGTGTACACTTTAAGGGTTAATTCGAAATATTTGTTAACGAGTATTCAAAGAAAAAAAAATGGGTTGGTTCTACGAGATCATTTTGTTCATTTTGAATGATTTCATATTATTATTAATAATATTATAAAAATGATAATAGCAAGTAATTTAGCTCAAAGTATCTCTTTGTTGAAATATTCCATTTTTATATATATATGTATACACTTTGTGTATAATTATCGGTACGTATGTAAATTAATTATACGTTGATTAAAAATGGATAAGAGGTAGTAAAGGAATAAGAACACAATGATAAGAAAAAGAAAAAGAAACGAAACGAAACGATTAACAAATGAATAATTAAATAATAATAACATAAAAAAGAAAAATAAATTAGCTTGTATCGTCCGAGCAAATGTCTCAGGTGTGAGTATGCGAAATTTATTCTAATTTATCGTAAATACACAAGCAAGGGCTCTTCTTTATTATCATAAATGTTCGTACCATCAATTTAAAACGAAATAATATATAATGTGTGCCAAAAAAAAAAAAAGAAGAAAAAGTAGAAGGATCCAAACGACGAAGAATATTAAAAAAAAAAAAAAAAAAAAAAAAAAACCAAGAAAAGTAAAAGAGACGAAAAATATGCCGTGCTAGGTCGAAATGCAATTATTTCTTCCATTTTGAAATTTTTCGTCGAATTGTTTCGACTCCATGAAATGAAGGAAAGTAAAAAAGAGAAAAATTTGAAAATGGAATAAAAATCATTTTAAAAAAATAATAATAATAATAATAATAATAATAAAACAAGATACGTATTTCGACTTTAAAGCAGATAACGAAAAAACAAAAAAAAAACAAAAACTGGTTGTTATAAAATCTTTTAATTGTTGAATTTTGCTGTAGCAATAAGTGTCTTAAACGTATATACTTTATATATATATATAAAGTATGTATATATACATATACACTATATAATATATTCTATATTAATGTTTCTTAGGTTTAAAATTCGATAAGTGTGTGGACAGGACGAATTTGATATAGTAATAATATTTCTTAAATAATATATATGTATATATACATAAATATTTATAGTTATGTGTGTGTATATATGAATATATTATTTCGTGAAAATTTTAACTGTCCATCTTAAAACTACTTTGAGATGAATCCTTCGACGAATTATTCGATGATAATTATTCAATAAATTCAACCAACATCGTCGTAAATGAAATCGTACGTTTGTTTCAAAGTATACTACGAAATAATTCGTACAAAGGTTTTTTTTTTTTTCTTCGTGGGGTTAGTCAAGCCCAAAAAATATTCTATCATCGTGGCGGTCCCGCGGGTAGCCCCGTCCACCGTGCGAAACGCAGCAGTCCGGTCGCCCCGTCCCCCGTGCGAAGCGCAACAGTCCGGTTAGCCCCGTATACTTCATTTTGTTTTTATTTTTTTTATTTTTTTTTATAATTTTTTGTAATCATCTTTAAATAAAACAATTTGATTAATAATCGTGTAAGAATTTTTAAACATACGAATAATTCGTTGAAGGATTATCGACAGAAAGAGACGTCTTAAAAATTAATACAATCTAAATGTGATAATATATTTGCTATTAAATTAAATATAACGTATATAATAAATCTATATATATATATATATATATATATATATA